GGACTATAGTCACTAGTTTTACCAGCATGGATGCATTGAATACTTAATTTACCTTTCTAAAAAACTGTCGAATATCCATGCTGTCGACTCAACCTGACTTTCGGCAATGAACTGTCAGTTGTTGCGTTAGCATTTGATGTGGCGATGGTGACAGACACGTCAAATGCTAACGCAACACCTGTTGCGTTCAGGAAACCTGGGAGATTTAACCTCACAATAATGGCAGGTTATCGAAATATAATTTAAAATGGCCACATTTCATTGAATTTGATGCAATATATTAGCAAAAGTACAGGAAAAATAAATAATACTTTTTTTTAAATAATGCAATGAAATTATTTAGGGGGGCTAAAGACATTTTTAGGGAGGCTGAAGCCTCCCTAAAATAGGCCTAATGACACCCATGAAGCCAACTCACCTTTCAGAAGCAAGCACATGAGAAACAACTGCAGCCACATCTTTCTGCAGAGAAGGGTGCAACCGTTTCGGTTCCATTTCGTTTTGTAGTTAAGTACTCAAACGAAAGCAAAAGTAACACTAATGCCCTGCTTACTGTCAGTAATTTAGTACATTACACAGAATACACACACGGTCAATGCATGAGAGTGCCATTTTACTGTGTTAATTCCCGCACATTTAACAACACCTCTTTTATGTACTGAGGCACATCTGTCTCTGCTTCTAAAAACGGTGAAAAGATAACGAAGGTTTATTTTTTAATAATTTTTTTAAAACGGTGAAAAATGTCCACGTTAGGCGTTCAGGCCAACTTTTCGGGAATAAGGTCCTCTTTTCCCATTTCAGGGGCGTTTTATTCCCAAATGCAACATCGGATTCGTACCAGACTGGTCGCAATAATATCCAGCTGCAGACTCGGAGGAGGTAGATTTAGGCTATGGCAGACATACGCCGGAAGTGGCTGTGGTAAGTTTAGGTCAATGGATTTTCAAAATAAAGTCCCTAAGTGGCTGTGGTAAGTTTGAGATGGTAGGTTTGAGATAGAATTACTTTGTTTGGGATGGTAGGTTTGAGATAGAATTACTTTGAATAGAATTTTAATTGAATAGAATTACAAAACACCTGGCTTCTGTATCCCCGCCAAAACGTATACCTATATTCCCTAAATGATCCATGTCCATTTAATATAATACAATAATTACTTTGACTTATTTGTATTTTGACGAGTAGAGTCAATAATTCATAAGGTTTTAATATAATACAAAAATTACACAACACCTGGCTTTTTATGCATTATAATAAATATAAAATAAAACCAGATTCTGTATCCCCACCAAAATGTATACCTATATTCCCTAAATGATCCATGTCAATTTCTAAAGCACTGTAGGCAAATAAAACACCAAAAATATTTTTGAAAAAGCACTTTATTGCTCACTCATTCACTTCCCTTGTTGTCGCAACTCCTTTTCGATCCTCTGCTCAAATTGGTCTCTTTCACTGAAATAAGGTTGTAAAACATGAAATGCAACAGAAACTGAAATGTTTTGAAATGTATTATTTGGGACATGAGAAAGGGAGTAAGGATTTAATTGCATTTTAGTTGAAAGAGAATTAGATGGTTTACTCTTACCTTGTGTGTAACGTTTGTCCAACAATAAATAAGTTTTCGGCATGTGCCACTGAGACCTTGTGGGTCACGGCGAGACCATAAATAATAGCCTATTAAGAGAAAAGGATTTGTACATTGTGTGAATATTTTCTAAAATATTTCAATCTACAAATACAAAAAAATCGATATGCACTTTTTGGACTGTGGGGTTCCAATGTTGGTGTATACAGACAATGGAATGTTGTTTTCTTTGGCATGCTTTTGTCGCGCAAGGCACAGCAGCTTCTTGTCCTCAGCAAACCACTTGCTGCTAACCATCTCGGTCAGAGTCTCCTCCTTTAGCACAGGGTGTGAAGCATACAATGAACAGTATACTATGGACCTGATGAGAAGGCAATCCACTCCTCAATGCAAATTCCATGTTTCTCTGGCAGTCGGATGATTCACATGAAACATGATGATTTTCACCCCATATTTTAAGCTGAACATGAAGGGGAATACAAGTACCACAGTGAGACTTTGAAACAGCATATATTCCATTAATGGGATCGATGCACTCATTCTCGAGGTGGTGCATTGCTGTCACATCCTTTTGCCTTTTAGTGTGCTTTCTTTCAATATGCCTTTTAATGTTTTTCTTATTGAACATAATACGGCAGATGGGACATTTTTGAGTAATCTGTCGATGAGGGATTTTTTTTCATGCGTCCACCTTGCGGCATGGGCACTGGAGGTGGCGAAGAGACGGCTTGGTACCCTGTATACAGGGGCTTTGAGTCCTTGAAGCAATGCTCTCGCCTCATCCGTCCAAAATGCGAACCGCTGTCCATGACTTGAAAACAAGACAATTATTCTTCAGCATTGTATTGGAATGATGTCATACTTTTGTGAGTTCTGTTATGACACTCCTGTAATGTTTTATATATTCTGCCAGTACACTTTTAAAGATGTATGATCAAAATTAGCACACATATGAAAGGCTGTCATACCCCTCGATTTCAAAACGTTCCATCAGAAACAGACACCACCATTTTCTGATGAGTGGCATGTCCATCTGATTGTTCACGACAAGACGAGTCTTAATCGTTCAGTATACATCACCTTGGAATTAATAGTTTGATGCAACATTGCCTATATTTTTTGTTGCAGTAAATGTTGTTAAATGGTATTTTATCTTGCCTCTTGGAACTCAAACTCAGTATTGAGGAGAAGGGACAGCGTATACTGGAACAGAGTAAGTAGTTAAGCAGTGTCTTCACAATGTTTTCAGACACCAGCATAAAATAACTCAAAAAAATGTGTCTAACCATGAGGACAAAAATCCCACAGTCGTTACTCCTGAGCTGGCGTGGCAGGTTCCCCATATCATGTCCGGTAATTTCTGTCCATGGCCCTGGGTCAATTTGCTGTGAAAGATTTCTTTTGGGAAAAACAAGCATATTTTGACATAGGAATAACTTGCATTAAGTACACACTATTAAAAACAGTAGGAACTTCCAGTACAGGCTATAGGAACGTGCCAAATCTTACCAGAATCAGGCTATGTATCTGTAAAGGCTATATGAACGTAGCCAGAACATAAAGCAAACTCTGCATGCAGTGTGTCTTATCTATCAACCTAAACAGGGCTCTGTAGTCCACATCAGCAAACCCATCGGGATGACTCTGATACAGTGAGTCCAAGAGGAGCAATTCTCTTCGTAATGGCCGCATAATCTAAAATGAAGTAAGAGGTTATGCCCCCACATGAGTTTCATTAGTAAACATAAATGTTTTGAAATGCATTTATTTCGTTTTATTGTTCTTTGTCTAGTGTTCTCATGCTCAAAGAAACACAAGTGTATACAATAGCGTATCCTTTGAAGAAAATACAATGATGACAAAAAAATAGGATTACAAAAATACAATTTATTTTGGGAGTCGACAAAATCGGCATATACTGTTGAGATGTGCGCTTCGTTCGGGGTATATTTGGGAAAATAATGACGAGAGATTTATTTTCTTCACTTAACTCAAACTCGTGGCATGTTTATTTTGCCGACTGCACTGAGAGCAGCCGCTTCTCATCACCACTGAACAGGAAGAAGACATTTCGCGCCGAATACAGACCGGATTTGGGTTGCCAGATCCGTTCTAAATAAACAAGTATTATGTCCCAATGACACATTTAAATCATAAAGAACACATCACAGCATTACGAAAATGAGGATACAAGATATCGTTTCTTAACACCCCCACTTATACTCAGTTTGCTGTAATGTAAACAAAATTAAATACAACAAGATAGAAAACAATGTGGACCCTGTCTCACACATTTCAAATCCCAAAAACAATGGGTGCAAACTCAATCAACTTTGACTTGGTGGCTGGCTTAGTCATAATGTCAGCAACCATAACTTCAGTAGGACAGTACACCAAATTTACTTTACCCTCATTAACTGTGGACCTGATAAAGTGGTACTTTATGTCCACATGCTTACACCTCTGTCTATGAACAGGATTTTTAGCAAGGGCAATTGTCCCCTGGTTGTCCTCGTACACCGTTGTTTTTGTGTATTGGTAGTCGTCAATAGCCTCTAGTAACTGTTCTAGATACAAGCACTCTTGTATTGTCGAAGCAAGAGCCATATATTCTGCTTCACAGGTGGAAAGCGCAACTGTAGGCTGCTTCTTAGTTTTCCAGGAAACTAAAGCACTGTTTTTACTGAGACTAGCACAGTATCCTGTGGTACTGCGCCTGTCGCTGGAGTCAGATGCCCAATCTGCATCGCCGTAGGCTTTAATGCCTAGCTCTTCATTGTCAACTCTTTTGAAATTCAAACCTTTGTCAGAAGTGCCTTTTAGGTATCTTAACACATGTTTCACAGTGACCCACTGCTCCTCTGTCGGCTCTGCAAAATACTGTGACAACCTGCTTACCACAAAGCTTAAATCTGGCCTGGTACAAGTAGTCAGATAGGGTCGGGTTAGATAGCCGGGGGAGCTGAAGTTACCCCCAGACCTACGGCCCTCACGGGATAACGAAGGTTTATTTTTTAATAATTTTTTTAAAACGGTCGAAAATGTCCACGTTAGGCGTTCAGTCCAACTTTTCTGGAAAAGGGCATATTTTCCCTTTTCGGAGGCCTTTTATTCCCAATTACAACATCGGATTCGTACCAGACTGGTCGGGTTGGATAGCCGGGGAGCAGTAGTTATTAGTTAACCCCAGACCTACGGCCCTCACGGGATAACGAAGGTTTATTTTTTGATGATTTTTTAAAAACGGTCGAAAATGTCCACATGTTAGGCGTTCAGGCCAACTTTTCGGGAATAAGGGCATATTGTCCCTTTTCGGAGGCCTTTTATTCCCAATTACAACATCGGATTCGTACCAGACTGGTCGGGTTGGATAGCCGGGGAGCAGTAGTTATTAGTTAACCCCAGACCTACGGCCCTCACGGGATAACGAAGGTTTATTTTTTAATAATTTTTTAAAAACGGTCGAAAATGTCCACATGTTAGGCGTTCAGGCAGGGGCGTCACTAGGTTTCAAGAACAAGGGGGGCTTAGCCCCAAGGGGAACACAGCCCCTTTAGGGGGGTTCGGGGGCATGCCCCCCCCCGGGAGAATTTTTTTCTACATTCTGTTAAAAATCCATCAATTCCGTGCACTTTGAGAGCAAAATGAAGAGGCTATGAAGAACTACACACATCACATTAGTATCCTCTTTACTATGATGGGGCTTCCTCCCCTGGACTTTAACTGGACTAGATAATAGAAATTATAAAGAGTTCAAAAGTTCAATCTTGGTTGTTCAAGGGAATTAGAAGGATGCCCGATAACATAACCTATATGACAGTAGGCCTATATTCCTCTCTACCAAAATGTATTAATATATGCTTAGCCCCCAGAAGACTATGTATTTTGAGATGTCTGCCGTGATATGCAATTTAAG